ATGTATCCGAAAGCTGCAAGTTAAAACAACACTGATATTTCATTTCACCCAGAAAAGATCAAGAATCAAGCAATAACAAATGCTGGTAGGAATGTGGGGGAAAAGAAACCCTTCTGCACTGTTGGTGCGAGTGTAGACTGATACTACCATTGTAGAAATCAGTGTAGACATTCTTCAAAAACCAAGCCTAAAGGAGCTATTCAACCCAGCTATTCCCCATCTTGGTAACTTCCCAAAGGTATTAAAAACATAGCACAGCAATGTATGCACACCCTTGTTTATGGTAACCTAATTTATAATATCTAAATCTCGGAGACAGTCCAAATGCCCATCAACCAGCGAACTGATAAAGATGTGGGGTTTTTAATCCAGTGAAGTACTACTCAGTCATAAAGAAGGATAAGCAAGGCATTATAGGTAATGGATGTACCTTGAGACAGTACTATTAAGTGAAACAAATCAAACAGACATGTAAATATTGTGCTGTCTCTCTGGTGTGAGAAACCACAAGTATAAATAAGAACCAGGTGTAGGCTAGATACAATGAAATAGGAAGGAAATGCTCTGTTGGGAAAAGGAACTAGGGAGTGGGGAGACAGAAAGGAAGGAAGCGAGAAAAAATGAGAAAAAAGGAAAAATAGAAACAGAACTTTTGTAAATAAGGAGGGGTAGAGGAATTGAAGGGACGATAGGGAATGTGAAGAAAATGAGCCACTGAGATGTTACACGCAGGTAAAAGTCCGCATGATAAAAGCAATCATTGCATATATTTGACATGTACCAATAAACAATAAAAATACTTTTCTTCGGTTTACATATTTATATTTATCCTATATTAGTTTATCTTAAAATATTTAATGAATCACATTTATTATTAATTGGCATTAAAATCATTTAAAACTTTTCTGATATTTGGAATATCAGCCTATTTTATTTCTACTAACTAAGCAATGAGTTTATAATATAAACAAATCTGAATCAGTGTTTTGTCATTTTCTGATTAGCAGTTACCTGATCTGTCACTCAGTTCCCAGACTGTTCAGAGATATTTTTTATGTCTCTTTGTGTTACAACTTTCCAATTTTCTTGTTTAAGATCAAGTCATAATTTGATCTAAAAATTGAGTGCTATAGAGGTGTTCAATGTAGTAAATTGTTTTCTAGAGTAATTCTTCAGTGAAAGACAATGGAAGAAATGCAGCTCTGCATTCAGAATAATCCTGACCTCATCCAAGTGAGAAGAATTCTGTATCTTTGTCAACGAGCCATCCCACAGAGCTCTGCTGGCTTTCTGTTAATTCTATGTAAAAAATATCACACTTGGAATATCTATCATGTTTGGATTACCTTAGACATTACAGGTCTGTTCTACGTAGAAATGAGATTTTGAGAAAGACAAGCAAAAACAAAACAAGTTACAAATATGACTGCCTTCTGAAGCTCAGTGGGACTATTATCTGTTTTCACACTTTTCATTTCCTTTAGTCAGATATTTTCAGTGTCTTACCTGTGAGTTTTTAAAATATTATCAATAAGCTAGTTCACTGTGAATTTCTTAGTAATTGATTTTTTTCACAGGAAAACGTTTTAAAGTTTACTCAGAGTCTTAAATTAATCACAATCATGAAATAAAAACGTTTTAGAAATAATTACAGTTATTAACTGAATGTAGTATCACCAGTTCTAATATTTTGCTGAATTCAATAAAAATATACTATGTGTGAATTTTGTTTTGTTTTGTGCAAGTTTTATCATAAGATCTACTCCATTAGCAAATGTGTATATATATATAATAAATATTGGCAATGATAGGTCAGCGCTCTAAGCAGATGTAGTCATCTTATTTATTATCTTTATGCCACTGAAAGATTACTCCCTAATTTCTGCCTCCCTGGTACCCACCATTCTATTAATTGGTTCAATCACTATTTTACACACATTACACAGGTGGAATCACACAGTATGTGTCTTTCTGTGACTGACCCATTTCACATGGGCTAGGGCCTTCAGGGTTCATCCACATCGACACGTACTGAACATTTTCCCTTTTTGATGCTGAATATTGTATCTTTATACCGTATTCTGTTCTTTGTTCATTATTGGATTGACATTTAGTTTGTTTTCACACTTTGGTTACTGTGAATAATACTCCAGAGAACGTAAGAATAATGATATGGCCCCAAGGTATTGATTTCTACCAAGAAGGATTGCTAGATCGTGTGATAGTTTTGCTTTTAAAGTTTTGTGAAACTTCTATATCATTTTCCACACTGTATGCACCATTTTGTATTTCTTTTAACAGTGCACAAAGTTTTCCATTTCTCCACATGCTTCCATATTCTTTTATTTTTTATAATTGTCATTCTGCCAAGCATGATACATTATCTCATTGTGGTTAGATTTACATTTCCTTGATGATTAGTGACATTGAGCATTTCTCATGTACACCTGTTGGCCATTTCTGTCTTCTTTGGAGAAATGTGTATTCAAATTTATAACATGTTCATTAAAAGTTGGGGCTATTAAAGGTTTCATTTGTTAAAAATAAGATGGCACACTCTAAGTCTAGTCTATGAATTATTACATTCAATGTAAATGGTCTAATTGGTATGGCTAAAAGATAATTTTAGGCTAGATAAAGTAGGCTCGTCTTTGCAAGTCTATGTAAAGCACACTTGAAAATAAGGTCATAGCGTTAAAATATTAAAGACTTGCCATGAAAACACAAATATTAAGAAAGCAAATATAACTGTATGACTAATAGACAAAATAAATTGAAGATCAAGGACACCATCAGAGATAGTGAAAGTTTTTCATCATGATAGACGAATAATCAAGAAGACATGACAACCCTGAGTATGAGTTTGTGTATGTGTGTGTGAGTGTGTGTGTGTGTTTCATTACAGACTTGCAAAATACACTAGGAAAAAAGTAACCAAACTGAAAAAGAAAGACACAAATCTAGCAGGATAGATAAACATATCAACATCCCATCCCAAGTAACTGATACAAGGAGATGAAAACATTGCTCTTTAAGTTGGCTTAATTGACGGAACCATGTACACTGAATAACTGAGTGCACATGAAACATTCACTGAGACCATATTCTTAGTCATAAAATAAACCTAAATGATTAAAACAATTTTAAATTTTAAAAACTTCCAAGATGTTCACATACATAAAGGTATTATTTATATAAAATATGTAATAGAGATACATTCATGTTGCAGCATACGATTATAACTTCCTCACATCATCACTGATTTAAAAGGTGCTTCTTAAATAACGATGATCTTGCAAGGCATTATAGTAAGCAAAGGTCACACATGAACCTATAAAAATAAATACACACCATGCAATGCTTTCAATGTTAGAGCTTATGCAATATTTTTATTTTGGAAGGGAAAAAGTGCTATTACCAAAAAAAAATAAAAAGCAGTTTGAAATCTCTAACTTCTTTTTGAGACCTGTGCCAATTGGAACATTACAAATTTCTTCTCTCTGATTATTGACAACCATCCAACAGCATGGAAATACCAACAAACATCAATAACAATCCCGCATCACCACTGGCCACTGCTTGCCTGAATGGTCACTGAGTAGCAGGCATTGTTCTAAGTGCTTTCGCACATTTCATTCTTGCTCTCAATTTCCTCCCATTTTACAAGTAAGGAAAATAAAACTCAGGAAAGTTAAATAACTTGCACAAGATTGCACAACTAGTAAGCAACAGTGCCAGAATTTGAACTCAGTAAAATAATTTTGCCATGTACTTTTCCATTTTCAAAATCACTGTCAGACACCCTGGCATTAGACATGAAAACGACACGATTTCCTACTTCAGCACTTTGTAAAGTATTTAATTGCTTTTCTTTTGCACTGACTGGAAATTTGCCTCTTCACTGGTCTGTCTTGTTTGATAAGTTCATCAAACATCAAGACTCTTTGTTCATTTTCAAAAAGGATTATAATGATAAGATTTTATAATTAAGACTATCTCAACAGAGATTTCCTTTACTATAGTTCTCTTACCTTTATCTTCTAATTATTAGAGATGAATTTTCTGATTTTCCAAAATTATATTTGCTTTAAACAGGTTACAGATTAACTTCTTAAAAAATGCCCCCCCTCCTGTTCTGAACTGTTATATAATGGAAATCACTCTAAAAGCAATACTGATTCAAAATCAAATCACCTAATAAGAATGTGAATAAAATGAGTACTTAATATTGTCAGCATTTGGGACACAGGAACTGCTTAAAAGCTATCCCATAGGTGAAACGAAAGACTGCTTAAGCACAACCACGATGATGTGTGTGTGTGCGTGTGTGTGTGTGTGTGTGTGTGTGTGTGTGTGTTTAACTTTATCATCAACTTCTCCTTGTATTTGGTTTATATGCTGAAATATAAACAACACAAAGCCAGGTTGGAAATCTCAAGGAAACAGAACAAAATGAACTTATGAATATCATGACCTCTGTCATTACCCCATGGCAGAAGGTAAACTCACTTTAAAATGACTGAGCATCTCTACAGTCTTTTGCCTTTCCCAAAATAATTTTGCCTACATTACCTGATTTTCTCCTCGAACACTATGAGACAGATATGCTTCTGATTCTCTTTCTTAGCTGAGGAGGTAGAAGCTCACTGTCTCACATCACCCAGGAGAACTACCATTGTTAAATGCTGACTGTGTGCTGAGTACATTCTGAACTGAGTCTTCCTTTATGTGCTTTGACTCTTATAAAGGAGGCATCATCATTGTCATACAGCTAGGGAAACAGGATAAAAGTGATTAAGTGATTTCTCCTGATTCCCCAGCCCCACTGATTACAGCTGTGATTCACACACGGGCTGACCTGTCATGGCTGCCTGCTACCCCCACTCCTTCCCGGGTTAGCGCGAACATGCAGTGAAGCTGAGCCCCAGTGGCGCAGCAGACATGAGAGTGTCATGGCGCCCCAGCAGGTCATTCCTCTTACAAAGACATGGCCCACTTACTGGTTCACCTTCTCCTGTGCAGCTACCATGGACTGATGAGACACCAAAGACAGGAGGAAGAGGGCAATAGCGAACATCTCATCCATCCAGAAGCCGCCACCTTTTGTTCACTTGGAGAAATAAAACTATTCAGGGAATTGGAATAAAAGATATCTACAGAGTGGGACCTCTTACATTTATCTAATGTTCAAAACCGAAGAAACTCTCTTGATTTCGGTTCAGAGCTGATTAACTAGTAACCAGGGTATCGATTGGTCAAACACCTTAAAAATAGTCAGACACCAAGACCCAGAGCCCTTTAGACCTTATGAAAAACAATAACTATGAGTTAATGAAAACTAATATTCAACCTATAACAGCTCAGCAGAAGATTTTATTTTCAGATAGAGGCAAAAAGTCAAATCAAAATCCACTTGCAGAATTGCTGGCCTTTTTGAGTGCCTTTTAGAACTTTTGAAGTCTGATCAATCTGGTTTTGCAAGACTGAAACAAGGCTAATGCTGGAATATCAGCTCAGAAGTAAGCAGTCAGATAAACATAGGAAAGTGTTACAGTTACGTGGAGCTTCTACTCCACACTGGAAACATCTGGGGCCTGAGAGATATCAGCGGGCTTCCTACTTACCAGGCATGCATTAAGGATCATTAAGAACCAGCCTGTTTGTGTCTAGAGCAGACAAGATGTCTTAAGCAGATATCTACGGGAGCACTGTCTGGAATTATGTTGATAAGCTGCTGCACATCTCTACTGAGGACGCCATACCAACATGGACTTCCTTACTCTTCCACACATAAATTAAATTACCATAAGCAAATAGAAATGGGTAAGTGGATAGTCAGTTGGACAAACAATTAGACACCTACTGTGTGATGGGCTTTTCATATGTCTTCTTTAATCCCCATAACAAGTCTATGACATGAAAATTATTAACTCCATTTGCAGCTGAAGAAATGGAAGTCCAAAAGAGATAACTACTGCCAAGAAGGTACAGCATCTCTATATCCTTTGGGAGACTTAGATTCTGTCCCTGCAGGAATAGGCAGTGGCATCCTTACTAATCTCAAATAAGTTGTGGGGAAGAATGATAAATAAATTGCATGCCTGAGGGTGTGTGCCTAATTTAGATGTTGGAAAGGCAGCTGGTGTTACTACCTCTTTCTTCTCCTCAGAGGTTCAAACTGAAACAAACACCACTGCAGACTCCTGGTGTCCATGACCCTGCATATTTCCTCTTCGAACCTCTCTCTTCTTGGCCTCAGTTTCCCCATACTCATAGCCATTTTGAAAGCTGCTCTTTCTCCCTTCTCCAGGGAAATTCAGTCACCACTGACTGGCAATGTGGAGGTTCAGGAGGTGCAGCATCTCTATATGCCGGGCCAGCTCGGTGCATATTGAGACTCCAGCTCTCTCCACCAACTTGCCCTCAGTCCCACCACTGCAGAACACTCATGACACAAGCCCTCAGAGCCCCTGGAGTGGAATTCAGGGCCCCACTCTTTCCCTAGCTTTCATGGATCTCCTCCCTGTGTTTTCCACTGTGGGTGAAAGTGCCCTCAGGGTAACTTTATCAGTGTCTAGAGACCTCTATGATTGGCACAGCTCAGGAAGGAATTTCCTTGCTATCATAAGTACACTACCAGCACTTTTAAGTTTTCCTTATGTTTTTCTGAGAAAATGGGAAAATTTGGACAATGAATCTTTCTTTAGATTAGACTTTTAGATCCAGTTGTGTCTCATTCTTCTTTGTAATAACCTATGTCACTTACTAATGAATTTTTAATAAGAAATATTTGTTGATAGAATAAGCAAATGAGTCAATCAAAAATAAATTACTACTTCATAATGCTTTTAGGTATATTTTCTCTTTTAATCTTCAAAATAATCTTGTCAGATAAACACCATTAAACTGAAGAGAATCTTGACAGTCAGAGGACACTGTGGTTAAAGAGGAAAAGAGAACAAAGGTAGATGGAGTACCAGGCCCTGTGCCTGCCAGCATAAAGGTCTGTGTAAGCCACATGCATGCGTGTACACACACGCACACCCCAGATGCAGACATTTCTCACACAGATCCAGACAACCAGATGCTTGGCCATCTCTGTTGATGCTAATGCAGTTTTGAAGATGAGGAGCTTGACATTCAGAATAGATAAGTAGTTTGCCCACAATCATAAAACTGGTGAGTCTCAAAGTCATGGGTTTATCATCTGTCTCACTGCAAATCCGGATGACTTTCTTTGGCCTGGTTGTTTGGTTGTTAAGCACTTTGTTAGGACTGAGACTGGGTCTTCTAACACCAAGTCCAGTCCTCTGTCCATTATGCCTTAGTGTTGGGTGAATATAATTCCCGGGGAAGAGGAAGACACAAGAAGTGAACAGAGATGATAACAGAATGAAATCAAAAGGGACCTGAGCTGTGCAGTTGGATGGGCTGTTCTATGTATCTGTGAGAACACACATGTGTATGATGCATACGCACACACAAAGCATGCTGAGGTGGGGGTGGGGCACCCATCTGCTCTCAGTCAGAAATGTTCAAAGATGAATGAGAAATGCCAAAAACTTGTTAGGTTTGCATATGTGGATTTCACCTTAATTGTGGCATTCTGTTATCAAAGATAGATAGTTATAAAACACATGGAGAAGAGACGGCAAGATGGCAATTCATTTTGAAAATGCATTACCTGTCACGTGGAGACATTTTGCACTATCTAAATCAGCCTGTGAGTTATGGCCTTGGAAGAGAACATGCCCTGTGCTGGCACAGCCTGCCACTGCAGGGCAACACCCAGGTTTGTTCTGTCTGAAAAGCTTATACAAGTTTTGTGCCCCATTTCTCTGTGCTGGGCCCAATTAAAACAAGAGGTCTAAATTCCGCAAATTTAATGCAAAGGAAGCAATTTCCTGCAGTAAAACACAGCTTCAGGTTAGAAAGTGCCTCTAACCAGGCACTATATCCCAGCCTTGGGCTCCTCATCTGTGCAGATGGGTAAAACTGCTCTTACCTAAGAGGACAAAGTCACTGAGGAGATGCCCTTGCAAGCTAGCACTTTGAAAGCTATTTCTGCTTCACTGAAGCAGTGCACCACCTTTCTGGAATCTAGTTTTCTTCTTTATATGTTTGGGAGTTCTGTTTAAGTACTGAGAAAGGGGTGGAGGGATAGAAAATAGAAGTCTGGAGGGAGAGGGAAGGAGGAAGATGGAAAACGGGACTCCCATACCCAGGCACTGTGGACTGATTTCAAGTTGCCTGGAGGGCAAGTGTGACCAGCAGAAGCCACTGGTAAGCCCTGCAAACAAGTGGTGGAGGGTCCAGTACCATCATGGCACCTTGAGAGTTTACAACTCTGGGAGGAGCTCAGACTGGAAACTTGGACTTGTCCTGGCCATCTCACCATGCCAGAGCAAGTGACATTTCTTCTAGGAGCTCACTGGTCAGCATCAACAGAGACGGCCAAGCATCTGGTTGTCTGGATCTGTGTGAGAAATGTCTGCATCTGGGGTGTGCGTGTGTGTACACGCACGCATGATATATTCTGTTTCCTCACAGAGAAGCCTACACAGTATTTATCCCAGCACTGGTTCAGAGTCTAGAGAAGGCCCCTAAAGGTCTCCTGCCAGGGCTCCCCCACCCTCGGCTCTCTGCTCTGTAACACCATGAGTCCTTATACCTGTTTTCCTCCTGATTGCCTCTAGTGGTGAGTCATCCTCTAACAATGAAGAGGGCCTGGGTTATGTGATTGGTCTCAATCAGCAGCTTCATACCAGATAAGCATGCCTATTGCTTTCCACTTGAGCTTTGTGTTTGCATTGAAGGGGGTGGAATGAGAGGGATTCCATATCTGGCTCATTAGAGTAGAAATTAGAGACCTATACTCAAAAAGGCATTCAGCATTGCAAGCAGCACTGATCTTTTAAGAAATCCATCTTAGAATTGGGTTGCAATAAAAAGCCGAGTCAATTCTGAACCAGATCAGATTTTCCAAGCTTTATCTCTTGGCAAGTGTATCATCTTCTCCCGCAGCACGGCACAGGGCAGCCCCTGCCTCTGTCCCCATGGGCCCGGCCACATCTCCCTCTCTAAAATCCATGGAGGACGGGGCGGTCCCTTATCACACCTCTGAGTACTGGACCTCCCAAAAGCCAAGGCTCCAGTCCAGAGATTTTTTTGCACAGGAAGTGCTGGTCAGTTGTGAAAAAGCTTTCCACATTGGAAAGACTCCTCACACAAGGAGCAAGGGAGTGCAGGGTGAGCAATAAAGCCCTCTGGGTGGGTGGGCAGCCATGGAACACTCCTGGAGAAACTGCCTTCCCCTGCCTCTTTCACCTTCTTTCCCTCCCAACGCTGCCCAGAGCTGTCTGTTTGCTGTCTCTTTTCTCTATACTCTGTGACCAGCTCAAAGGCAGAGCCGATGATGTATGTATTTCACGCCTCCCCACGGTCAGATGCATATTTCGTACCCTGGAAGTCACAGGAGGGCGAGGCAGAAAGAGCTGGGGCGGGGGCCATGGAGGGGACTACGAGCCCTGGTGTTGTGCCCTGGATGCCCAAGCTGACCTGTCCTAGGAGCACAGCGTGACTGTGGAATGGCCACTTGGCTCCCCCAGACTGTCATGTCCAAATACCTGAGAGCTGGCTCCTCTCTGTGGTCTCCTCGTCTGAAGACTTCCTCTCCAGTCCCGATCTAGGAAATCCCTTAGAACTGCAAACCTGGAGGAGATATACATACGCATAATGTATGTGTGCACACATATGCACACACACTTATCCATGTATCCAAGCCATTCAAGTCTCTTTTAATACTTTTATTCAAGACTTGTCATCCCCTGAGACAGCGCAGGCTGTCAGCCTGCAATTAGACTTTCTCTCCACTCATGAAGCCAGGCTGTGTGAAGCGAGAGTGAGAGCTGGATTACCCACTGTAAACAAATTTGGTCAGTCCCTTTCTCGCAGGTCTCAGTTCCAGCTGAGTGGATTTCAGCGGCTCCTGGGTGAATGCTAATGCTGCCTACTGTTCTCGTGGCAAAGAAAACAATAGCCCTGTATGCCTCCCTTCTCAACAATGCCCTGGGTCTCACTTTTCCAGCATCTTTTGGATGCAGCACAGGGCCCTGGACAAGGGGGTGCTGCAGGAAATGGTCAAACAACCTAGAAGAGGCTTCAGCAGCAGGTCATATACCTGGGCTTTAAGGCTGGCTCAGCTATCAATTTTATTTATAACCTTGAAAAAGTCACCTCATCTCTCTCAGCCTTCATTATCTTACTGTAAAGTGAGACTCAGGACACCTACCTAACCAGCATGCAGTGAAGCGAAGAGTAATTGAGGGCATCCAGGAGCCCGGGACATACGCTGTGGGTGAGGGTCCCAGCCTCCCCCTGCGCGGTAAAGCCAGGTCCCCAGAGCTCAGTGCAGCTCACTCAGAATTCAGAGTCCTAGAAATCAGACAGGGGTACAGATCAGACCTCTGTGAACTGACCTCTGACTGAGGTCACGCTGCAATCAGATGTAAGTATTCAGTCCATGAGGACAGAGAGGAAAGGGCAAACATTTCTGGACACCTGTGTTCTTCCTGAAATCCCTGTGCAGGCTTCTGATGGGAATTCATCTAAGGCTCAGGAAACTAGGCCTGGAGAAGGAGGCGGGAGGGCAAGACAACTCAAGGCCACGTTAAGTCTGATTTCGGTGTCTGCGCGGGGCCCTGTCTTTGGCGTTAATATCAAATTCTGATGACAGTGAGGTATGTGGTAGGTTACAGACAAAACATGATACATTTGGGGGACCTCTACTAATCTTTCCAGAGTGGTGCCAGAGAGGATGACTCTGTGTCCTAAACCAAAAAGGGTTGCACTTATTCCTCATGCTATCCCTGGCACTGCGAGCACTAGACTGGCACAGAACTCACCCAGTAAGTGTGTTAAATAAGTGACTGAAATTCAGGAGGCTCATCCTCCACCCTTGGCTTTTCTAGTCACCAGTAGCAAGACAGAAAAAGAATAGTCTTCATATAAATTGTCCAAGGGATGCTTACACACTGCTTGTAGTAATCACTTTGAGTTCTACTGCTGTGTAACCAACCACCCCAGAACTCAGTGGCTGGAAAAAACATTGATTGATCTATTCTCAGGATTCTGAAGAATGTTGTTGAGGGCCTCTGAGAGTTCCCCAGGCTAAAATGGCATGGCCACACCCTTTATCATTTTCCCCAGGCTACTTTATAGCCTTACAGCTGATTCCCAAAAGAGAATTCTTTTGTTTACATCGAATTTGCTAATGTTTCAGTCAGCAGCCAAAGTGAGTTGGAGTTGCATGACCAAGCCCAGGATTACCGTGAGAGGGAATACACAAGGACATGAATATCAAAAAGTCCAGTTTGTGGAGGCCCGCTGCTCACATCAGTCTTCACAGACAATATCTATACCTCTGCAAAGTACTTAGAAAGGTATATGGCACTTAATTGGTACTACTTGAGTATTAGTAATAGCTAATTATTAACAGCTAATTATGCCATATCATTATCATAATGATAATGCTTTTATTTTATTGACTATAAAATGAGAAGCCCAGGCTTGGACAGTTCTTATGCAGCCCTCAGTCCCTGAGAACAATGTTGTTGAATGTTGCTGAAATGATGCAATTGTTTTTGAGTTTCCCAAACAACAAGATATGAATGTAGACCCATTTTCTTCTCCTCTGCCCACTTCCCTTTAAAAGTCACAGTAAAGCTGATATATTTTGCTTGTTTTTGGAAGTGACCCTGGAACAAAGAGAGAAATTGCTCATTTTATTTAAACATTCACTCAACAAGCATTTTTTGAAGCCCATCACACTCATCTCTTTCCCATTTCCAGAGATTTACCCAGGGATGGCCATAGCACCCAGTTCTGGTAGGTGAGATGGAGAAGGAAATCTGCTGAGCACTCAGGAGAAAGAGTATCCACACAGCTGAAAGGAAAGAGGTGCTCAAGGAGAATCCTTGTTCCTTTTACACTTTTGAATAAAGTTATATGGAGGCACAATGCCTGCAGATGTCCACTGGTGCCTCTGTTAGCATCCTGACATGAATACGCCCCAAATGGCCCTCTAGCCGCAGGGGAAAGAGATGTATGGACCAGAACAGCCCAGTGAACCTGGACCCATCCAGCTCAATCAGCTGGCTCTTCCGCTGCTATGGCCTGAAGCTGAGCTGCTCAGCTGATCACAGACAGACAGATTTGTGGGAAAGGACATCATTCATCATTCAGACCTCTGAGTTTTGGGATAGCTGTTATGAAGCCTGATTGTAACAAGAGGTAACCAATACAGCATCTTATCTCCTGAACTGCTGGTACCTGAGCCACAAAACTTGACCATTCCGCTGTGGAGGGACACAGAAAGAAAATTCTCAAAACACCTACATTAGAGTTTGGAAACTTCAAAAAACAAAGACCAGAGCCTACTTCTCCCCCTGATTTCTGAAGACAGGACCCTGATGGATAAGCCTTAAGCAAGGCCAGGGGTCATGAGGGCATGATGAGGACAGGCAGGTGAAGGTACTGGCAGTCGTCTGTCTTCACTGCTGAAAGTGACCAAAAAGCTGCAGAACTGTGAATGCAAAACAGGAAAGTGGATTTAGACAGAACTTAGATGACAGCAGTGCCCAGAAAACAAATGGAACATGTCTAGTTTCACCCTCAGCGGACTCATTCCATCACCTGACTCTGATTAACATCTCTCTCTGCCTAAAACATGTGGTGCCATCTTCAGAGTGGAGATTTCGCTGGGCGCCCACACCCAGACCACCCACGAAGTCATGGGCACTCTCCTCCAAGTAAGTCCCTTCTCTTTGCATTTTCCTTTTTGTGCCAATAAATTGCTTATATGCCCCTCTCACAGGAGAAATCCTTCTAATGGAATTTGTATACTGCTCGTCTCTGAGCTCGTAGAAACATTCAAGGATTGTTAGTCAAGTATAATTAACACTATTATTGCTAAAATTAAAATTATTGATGGCACGGCAATTATCATTTCCACGCACTCTCTCCATGCCTACCCATGTGGAGGTGTTCCACAAGCAATTTATGCCAGCTTAAGAGGCAGGTTTTATTGTCCCACATAGTCCCAAGAGAAATAAAGCCCTGTCGGCTTGGCACTGTCCTCTGATCAGGTGCTGAAATGAGCTTTTTATACATATGGCCTCCACATCTTCTGCTACAACTGCATCTACCTGAAAGCCTTCTTTTGCCCCTTTTCAGGCACAAACACTGAGGATTCAGTGTGAGCCAGTACCTCCCCCCACATGGCACAGCCTTGAAGGGACAGTATCTGGATTCGGACTCTGTCTGCCCACTTCTGAGCCCGTATTTGTTCAGCTTCATCTGTCAGAGACAGACAGCACTGCCATGCCTGCTTCTCTGATCTTTTGGCTGCAGTGTTGACTGCCCTGATTCCCTTTCTGGAAGTCTTCCCTCCACTAAAGAGCTGGATTGCAGCATCTGGAGGCGACCATTGAGTAACTCCCATGCGAACTTCAGGACAAAGCAAGTGCAGAGGAAAGGGAGGTCTCAGGACCTCTAGCTCACCCAGCCAGTGGCTTCGTTTCCTAACTTCCCAGTGAAGACGAGCACTGTTAGCCCTGTGGAGAGAGGACCTCATCCTGTGTGCTGGGGTCTTCGGTAAGGAGCAGCCAGCAGATGTTAACATTCTCCTTTCCCCAAACTTCACAGCTCTCAGATGTTTTGAATCTTTCATTCATTCTGCAAGATAAATGTCATTATGCTCGATGCACTTAGGTATTGGGGTTGTGGTGCATGCCATAGGCTTGGCTGGGCAGTACCAAACACACTCTCATTTGTATCTTACAAGTCTTGTAAAGCAAAGACTATTTTCCCAATTAGAGGAAATGGGAACTGAGGAGTTACACAATAGGGTAACATTTTCAGTGGCACTCCCAGAGACTGGGCACAGCAAAGACCAACACTCAGGTCATCAAGAGCGAGGCCCATTTTAGTCTACGTGTTAGGCTGTGGCTAGGAACCCTTCCAGACCCTGGTACAGCCCCCAGCCTCTGCCAACCGCTGTCACTCTGACGGCCACAGCTTGTTAATGCCATTGGTGGTGTGGGTGCCGATGATGTCTCTTTAGTTCATAGAACTCCTGACTAAGGAAGAGCTTTGTCTGAGAAACTTCACTCAGGAGCTTTTTTGACATCTTGACCTGACTTGGTGACAAGATACTGGACTGGAACTAGAACCTTGCACTACAATGAGATGAGGTTTGAAGGATGTTTGCAATCAGGGGTGTGGCGAGCGTGTAGAATTAAGGCAAACATGTGACCTGAGGGCAGACCAGCACATCACTTTAAAGACATGACTCCCAAACTCTTTGGTAGACATCCTCATAATTCTCCTCCCTTCAACTATAGTCTGGGGCTTCCCAGCCAATGAAATACGGCAGAAGTGACAGTGCCTCACTTTTCAGGGCTTACTAAACTGCCAGCTTCTGCTTGCTGCCTTTAGGGACACAGCCCTCACACTGTGGAGTCACCTGACCCAGCCGACAACCATGAGGACCCTGAGACCCACATGTGGAGACTCCTGTGGGGCTGTCTGGAAGAGGATCCCCGACGAGCCACCAGCCTGCTATAGAGAGCAGGGACAAGAGGGCCCTGATGAGCCCTGACCACATTGCAGCCCTGTGAGTGGAATAAATGGTTGTTTTCTTTTAAACCACTGTGTTTTGGGATTAATTCTACTACACTAGAAAATCAAAGGAGAAGAAAACCTGACACCTGTGAAGCCAACACCATATGGCAGGGCCATTATATTAAAGTCACTTATTGCAATCATTTAAACAGGTAAAGAAACTGGGGCTCAGAAAGTATGCATCTCGTGCTGGGAATTCCACCTGGAACAAGCAGATCAGCACGGACCTGAACTCTACCTGACCAGGACTCCAATCCACAGCCCTGTCCTCTGCACCACTCTCCCTGGCTCCCCACGACCCACCCACTGACCTGATTTCCAGAGTTCAAGCTCAAAGGAAACAGTGCTCCCCTTGTCCTTACACTGGGGATGTGTGCTTGGAAATAAGCACACTCTGGTATAAATTCCAGCAGCTCCAAAGAGTTGGGCTGTAGCGAGTCAGCCGAGTACCCTTCGCCTGGTAATACCTTGGGCTCCTTGCTAAAGCTCTTTGAGCCTCAGTCTCTTCCTCCACAGATGAGGATCAGCTTGCAGGGAATCTAAGGAGGGATGATTTTGCAGGTGACTTAACACTGTATCGAGGCCATGCTGCTTTTATTGTAGGTTTAGACAAATTTTTCTCCACAACATCCTCCTGAACCCAGTAGAGATAAGATCACAACAGAACACACTCAGCCCACCCTCAAGCACCATTTATTTTTTCCCTGCCCCCAAAAGATTTCACCCTTTGCCTCCATTTCTCCACTCACTCTGGACAGGAATGACTCAGCTTTTCTCCCAAATTCCCTCCTTCACAACCGACTGGGAGAGCATTCTGCAGAATCATGTGGATCCCCATCATGTCCACACTGGGTGCTGGAGAGCTTCAGGGAAGGGATTTCACAGCCACGCTGACTTCAGCCAATGTGGGCTCCAAGTGAGTGGGTGAAATCGTTCAGCCTGTGCCAGGTAGCCCCAAGAAACAGGGCTCACTCCCTCTCAGAAATGGCCCAGTGGGCAAAAGGGGAGCAGCCTCCCCCAGCTCCCCCGGGAGGCAGAAGAGAATTCTGTAAACCATGTAACCCTCAGATAGTGTTGGAAGCAGAGTTGGGACCTCACCAGATCTGGGTGGGAGGTGAGTTGCAGGTGATAGTGACTTATCCATGGGGTCACAGTCCCCTGGGCATCCCTGCTACCTGCCTGGCTCTCAGAGTCGATATGATGCTGCAATGGGTCGAGCCAACCCTATATCCTCACATAAGAAAGTGTGGCCCAGGAGGGCGGGAGCCATTTTCTTGTGCTGCTGCCCTCTGGAAACTGTATTTTGAACACTTGTTTTCATGTAGATTATTCAATCCGCAGCCTGCAGGCTGTGTGAAGCCAGCAGTCTCAACCCTGCTGGTGAGTACGGCCATCGGCCTAGCAGGTTGGGGTTGCTGGGCAGAGGCACGGTCTCCAGAATGGCCGGTGCTGTCCTCCTGTCATTGGGAGCCCAGGTTCTGTTGCAAATATTGGAAAACAGATCAGCAGCTCTAAAAGTCTCAGGAGTCATCTGCTTTTGATTACATTGTCTGTGGGTGTTTATAAGCAGCCTACCCTGGATTTCTGGCATTGGCGCAAGGTGGCTCCTCCTGTCCACCTTCCCCAGGTGCAGGCACAAGCCTGGGAATCAAGGCACCCATGCATGTCACACTGTTGACACATGGAGGAAGCACAGCTCCAGGTTAGGGGCTGCAGCTGAGTCTGGGCTGTGCTTCTCCAGCTGCGTCCTCACCACCAGAGACACTCTCCAGAAGCGCTCAGCCACGGCCCTGCCTCCCTGTCCTCCGGGGCCTCTGTCTACCTCATACCTTTGGCATGTCTTGCATCAGGCAGCTGCTGGCCAGAGCCCTGCCGCACCAAGCAGCAGATTGGCGTCCTCATGCAGGCCAGGGCCTTTCTTACCTACAGAACCTTGCTGCCTTCCCAGCCATCATTCGGCCCCGGCTCACTGTACACCTGGGGACCACGGCCCCCCTAACCAGAATGCCTACTGTTTGGGCGCAGGCCGTATTTCTCTGCTATGTGGGGTAGAAGAAATCAGCAGGAAGATTTTCATGGAGAACTGGGCTGTGATTGAGACTCCCACGGCAGCCCCAGAGACCAGGTCAGCTCACGCTCACAGGTGGACAGAGAAGGACGTGGGGCGTCAGTGGAGTCCATAGATGGTGCAGGCACCTGGGCTGCTCTCCTCCTCCCACAGGGCCCCTCCTTCTCTGTCCAGCCACCTGTCCTCCTCGCACCCTGTGTGTCATGCACTAAGAGTGGTTCCTGGCTAAAGGGTAAGCGTGAAGAGCTCTACCCAAAGGAAGGAAGCTGGCCAATCGGCTCCTCCCCACAAGAGCCTGAATGATGAAAAGATTCAAGAGGAACCCATTACTTTGCGGAAAGCAAGGCTGAACACAAGGGAGACCTTGAATTCCCTGATGCTGTGTGAAAGTCATACTGTGTGGAGATCACAGCAAACAGATCCCTGAAGACAAGAGGCACCCGGGAAGGGAAGGGTGAGTCGGCAGGGTCAGAGGCAGGGACCCCAGGGTGACCCTCAAGCCTCACACTGATGTTCCTGGAGCCCAGGCCTCAGCAGGAGGCTGACCACATGGGGTCCCTGTTCAGAGGCCCCGGGGCCTCCTGACAAGCGTCTTCAAAGCATAGCCCCTTCCCGAGGCTCGGCCCCTTCACCCCCACTGACAGTGTGCTGCTGAGCCTCTGGGTGCCACATGGCTGTATTTGTGCAGGGAGATTGGTTTATTTTATTTCACAGATTTGGAACTGCATGGGTGTTCTATTTCATCTGGGGTGTCTAGGACATGGGGGGTTACATCTATGTTCTGCCGATAATTAAGGGAAGAAGCTGTGATGCTACAGTTTCCTTAGTTTTAACTTTAAATGCAATTTATGCTTTTGTCCTCAGGGTTTTTAACTTTAACTTTTGTGATTTGGATTTTGTATATTATGATTAGCTTTCCTATAAAACAAGATGATAAATATCTATAAAGGGATGATACACAAATTCAGCCACTGGTGTGAGACAGAATTCATCCCAAAGGAGAGATTCTAAAAAGAAGACCCCTCTGATGAGACACAGATGGGGCTGAGAAGACAGGAGGAGCCAAGCAGGGAGGAGGGTACCCCAAGACCAGCAAGAGCAGAAGCCAGGGGAAGAGAGATAGACAGGCCTTAGAGAACCCGCACCACAGCAGGGAAGGGTACCCCGACTTCCTCCTACCACTGAGCCAGGCGGCCCTAGAGGTCTGTAGAGGTCAGCTCTCAGCACAGAGGGGAGTGGGCAGCAGGGAGGGCTGAGAATGAGCAGCTGAGGTGATCACGAGGTTGTAGGCTTGAGCATGGTCACATGCAGGAGTGAGAATGGGAGTGGTGCCAAAGAGAGCTGAGCCTGGCAAACAGTGCTGTGAGTGGAGAGCAAGTGTGGCTCTTGGGACACTTGGTGACAAAACCCCTGCCAAGAGACTTTTCCCACTGGGATGCTCAGCTTTCACCCGGGCCTTGAGCCCTGACTCAGCCCTCCGAGTAGGGTCAGTTCCCATGGTGCCTGCAGCCACCCTCGTCCGGGCTCACTTGCACCCCCACGTCCCTCAGGTATTGACTGGTTTGAACGAGGAGAGTGGCCATGATCCCACAGCACTGCAGGCAGGGCAGCTGGAACAGGCCAGCAAGCCCAGAACTGGGCACTGGCTGGCCAGGTGTCTGCTGGGGGCCAATTTCTTGATTCATGACAGCTGTCTGCTAGCTGTGTTTTTGTGGTAAAGGGAATGAGGGTGCTGAATGGGGCTTCTCTGATATGAATATGTGTGTTATTTATTTTGAGATAGGTTCTTGCTAAATTTTCCAGGATTGCCTTTTTCTGGATAGGTGAGATTAGGGGCAGTATGTGACACCTTCCCCAGAATAAGACCTTTTTCATAAGGACAATAATCTCAGTCATGACCTAAACATCTTTCAAAGCCTCCACTCCCAAACATCATCCCCCAGGGGCCAGGTTCAGCGTAGGAACT